TCCTGGGACTTCTGATGCTGGCATTGACGGCATACTGGGGAGTGGGTCAACAAGCATCTCTGACTTGGGATATCCTGAGGTCGGCGGGAACTCCAGATACGTGCCATCAGGCTTCTCAACGATTGAGATCTTGTGAGCCTGCTGCCAAGGTCGTCCGAGTAGACCATCAAACGGAGGGTTCTCTGCAATGAAGGCATTGATTGGCGTGCTGATGTGGCCGAGCTTCAGAGGAATGTTCTCGACTAGCCCCAAAAGGTGACCAGTTCCTCCGTTGGCATCCTTCATTGCTATGGCTGCGCCCAAGTTGATTGGCCTGCGGACTATGTTCTTACAGACTGCCTCGCTGATAATGTTGAGCTGAGACCCCGTGTCGACAATGAACGTGACTGGCATGAAGTTGCACTCCATTTGAAGGCGGATCAGGGAACCCGTGCGTGACGTGATCAGGTTTGTCCTTGGGAGGATTGATGCAACCGGGACTGTGTCAACCTTCTTGAGCTTGAGCATGTCGATCAGGCTGCTGGCAACCTCACGAGAGCATCCTGCAATCTCCCGGACTGGAAGGGTCACAGGTAGATCTAGAAGCTTCTCTGCAATCTTGACAGGGTCAACCGTCTTGCTGACGTCCGATGCACGCGGGGCCCAACGAGGTTTGTCCATGGTGGCTGGCTCCGCAGGGGCTGGCTTCTTCCGCTGAGTCAGAGTGCGGTCGTCGATCATGTCCACGTCATTATCAGGGTTGAATGCCATAGGCTGAGTCTCAACTGGCACCAGACGTTGCATGGGAAGGCGATGCACAGCAGTGGCCTTCTGCGAAGTCTCCGTCTTCTTCGGCTTATCCTTCGGGTTCTCCTTTCCTTTCGAGGGGACGCCTACACCGTCAAAGGTCTCCTTGCGGTAAGGCCTGGTGATGCGTTGGGCTCTCTCCACTGGATAGACCATGACGTCGGCCTGCTCTGGATCCTCGTCTTCATCGTCCACATCCTGTGCTGGTCCATCATAGGCTATGAAGTTCACCTTGGGAAGGGTGCGTTCAATTGCCTGGACAATATTCTCGCCCTCCTGCCGTCTGATGACTCGACCATCCTTGTCTGTGATACGCCCTCGATAGTCTTTCAGAACCTGGCCCTTTGAGATGTATTTCTGGATCTCAGGGCAGTTGTTCATGACATGGCCTGGCTGACCACATCCGAAGCATCCTTGGGTTCCTGACTGAAGTGGTGGTAGTGAGGGTCGCATTGGCGGCTGGCTCATGTTGGATCTGCCCATGTGTGGTGGCAAATCACGAGTGACGTTCTGGCTAAACTGCGGCGGGGGCCTAAGGATAGGCTGGTAGAAACAGTTCTGCACGTTGGGGTCAATGCGGCAGGCTTTGAGGTACGCAGCACCATACAGCGGGTCGTCCAATCGGAGGGTGTGAAGCTGTTGGATCAGGCCATCGAGTTCCACATCCTCAGGCTTGCGGGATGGGGTAGGCACTGGGGTGGGCTTTGGCTTCTCCTCCTTGACTTTCTCCTGCTGCTGGATGTACTTGCGGACTTGTTTCTTCTTCGTCTCCTTCAACTCCTGCTCCGGGTCCTCCGTGTCGCTGTCATCTTCTTTGTCAAAGCGCGCAACCTTGCGGTTTGGCACTGGTGAGTCTCTCTCCGCTCTGCCCCGTCCAATCCCGGTGATCTCCTCAAAGTAGTCATCATCTTCATCATCTGATTGGTCAAGGTAGGTGTTGTCAGAGCCCAGTCGCTCCGTGTCAAACCGGTCAACACTAAGAAGGGCCTTGGCTGCCTTCTCAATAGCCTTGGGCGTGAAGGGCGTAGACATGTCATGCTCTGGATCCTCAAGCAGAATCCGGGCTTCTAGTCGCTTGCGGAAGGTGCGGTGAAGACCCATCCAGAGGTAGTAGGCATACTCTCCCTCGGATATCTTCTTCTTTCCCTTGAGCCAGCCCGCAATGCGGACAAAGTTGCGCAGGTACTGCCGCCAATCCCGTAGCTCTAGGATTGATTCTTCCTTGGACTTGCTGATGAAGCGCTGAAGGTCCTTGATCCGGAATCGCTTGGACTCGAGGTCTGCATTCCAATAGACACGGATGTCCTCCTTGAGCTGTTCCCATGTGCCCTGCTGAAAGGACGGGAATCCTTCAATGGTCTCCCTGACTACTCGTCCACAGTAGTCCAGAATGGTGTCGCATTTCTCTCTCTCCGTGAGGTTGTGTGTGATTGCCAGCCTCTCATACTTCCGTAGAAAAGGCTCAACATCAGAAGCTTCGCCCTTGAAGTGCTTTGGGGCTCGGCGTGATCCTTCAACTGGCATGTCCAGGACTGTCAATGCAGACCGGCCTGACCGAGAGCCTAGGCTGAAGTCTGTGGCAACCGACGGACTCGGGGAACGGTGGTCATCCATGTTGATTTGCGGGAATGTGAGGTCGAATGTGGAATGTGAAGTCGTGGTTGATAGGGATGCAGTTATTCAGGATAGTCTTGGGTAAGGATCAATCACTTCCCCCCTCGCGGTGGGCTCCAGTGATGTCGTATGCTATCCGGGAATCGGATGATTGATAGGTGAAAAGGGGTGAGGGGTTGGGCGATGTTGATTCCCTGATGCTGCCGCAAAGCGTGTGGGGTTTCCTGCTTTTCCAACAGTGGCTTCGCCGAGTTCGTGACTAAGCCGGGCGGGCT